TTGCTTGCCTCTTAAAATTCTCTTGTGTTTCTTGTTAAAGTTTGACTCGACTAAATTTGCCTTAACTTGAAAATTACTCTACAACCGGACAATTAAGTCCTCAAGACACACGTCTTTGCATTTGTGCATGTGGTAGTTCTTTAAATTCCTCAGTAATTTTTCAACAATCGCACGCCACTAAGAGACCACATTCACGATATCATTCTACCAATAAATCGGAAATGTTGATTAGAATTTCTTGCACTTAGCTAAACACCAACGAAGTACTTAAGAAATTTTTCAATGACTATTAATTTTTAATTCCGATGTCTTCCTTCTTGTACCTCACCTCGAAGGAAACCATAACTCTTTAACTATCTAAATCAAATTATGAACATTGTAAAGTGAATCCTCTAATCGATTAAGTATGTAACTTTTACACAAGAAAGCACTTTGATGCCAAACATTTAAGACCGTACATTTTTAGGCGATGATCTCTCTTCCGAGGGCAATAAAAGGATATTCTGAAAGAAACTGAGAGAGAGGGTAGTGAAGTAGAACAATATCTTTTGTTGCCATGCTGTAAAATCAGTGTCATTGAAGCCTTGGATGGGGGTGGTTATGGTTGAAATGAAAGGAGTAATGTTGTGTGTAGCACTGGAAGTATTTTTGTTTCTTTCTAATATTTTGAATACCCAAATATTTCATCTTGAGAATGTAATTAGAGTATTTACCAATATCAACAAAATTTCTAAGTGGAAGGAAAAAAACTGAATGAATAAAACAAGTCAAGACATGAAAATATACGCGTTCGTTTAAACAAAATTGCACAGTAAATTACCAAAGGGTTTACGACTAACGCCTCAACATACAATATTTTTTTACAAATATATGCATAGTGATATAGTGATAATACAAATACACATGTTTCTAGCTATCACTATTATTGTTTCGGTGCACTTAAGAATGATAAAAACACAAGAAAATAATATGAATACGAACTTGTATGCAAAAGAGCACTTAAATTACGGTAATCATGATATGATATACATAGGGTATAAAGGTGTATAAACATCATCAGGGGTTTTACGTGTTCAATGACACATTTTGGGACGTGCTCGGTCTAAAAAAATGCGACCAGAACAAGTCGACAATCTTTTGGCACTAGCAGGTGCGTCCGGGGCATAGGCCTGCCGTACCGCGAGTGACTCAGTGCCTTGTTACACCCATATTTATCTGTTTCCAATTCTCACCAACTTTGAGTTACAAAAAACTCATTTTTCTTACACGTTCGATTTTGAATTAATTTTTCATTAATTCTAAAAGGATTTTTAATTTTTTTCAAAAAGATGTACATAAAAAAGACCCTAACTGGGCTGAATAGTCACAAGGCTACAAGTCCAATGTTTGATATACACCAAGTCAAACAAAAAGTCAAAAACAAAAGAAGAAAAAAGTACAAAGAAAAAGCTAACAACTACAACTAGAAAAAAAAATAAAAACAGATCCTGGTCCGTATAGAGACCCAACGAAAAAGTCAGCACCACAATGTGGTAAATACGCCAAAAGATAGAACCGACTACACAAATCTGAATGAAGGGTATCTCATCTGGTCCTTCCGTATGAGGGTGCGGAGGCGGAGTGGAATATTATCATGATAAAGGATGCGTCTCTGGGGTGTGGAGGACCCGATGCCAGCGAGAAAGTCAGCAGGTCGGTTCCCCTCACGAAAGATGTGTGAGATCCGAAAGCGAATCGACCGGAGAGTGGCTCTGATACGCATGAAAGGGTGCTGAATCTACCACGAGCCCTGCTGGCCAGATGATAAGAGGGTGGTGACAGCGACAGCGTTCGACTCAATTCAAATGTGAGATGAGATCGAGGCGGAAATCTGAAGACCGATCTAAAGCGCCTGAACCTCCGCATCATAGCTCGAGGAGGCCCGAAGAGGGGCATGAAAAACGGTAATAAGTGCCCCACTATGATCCCTAATCAGGCCCCCACCTCCTGCAACTCCAGTATGTCGGTCAAAGGATCCATCAGTGTTTAGCTTAACCTAAGGCGACTCGGGTTCAGCCAAACAACAGCTCTGGGGCATGGATACCGGGCATGCGCCAGCGAAGGTGGTGCAAGGCGGTGAGGTGGCGTGCAGCCTGTCCAGTCTCTCTGGGTGAGTCTGCCCAAAGCGGTGAGGAGAGAGAGATGCCAGTCAACCTGCAAAATAATATGAGAGCACAAAAAAAAGTTATCCCTATGCTTCGCATTATTCCTTTCTATCCAGGTGGCCCAAAAGAGCAGACAAGGAATAAGGAAGCTAACGTGTCTAGCGTGTGTGCTGTGTCTGAAAAAACTCAGAAGCTCAAAGAAAGTATCTGTAGAGGGTAGGGGGATATAAATGTAGGTGGTATAATGCTCCCATACTCTCCTCACAGTCTCGCTCTCAAAAATAAATGGGTGAAGGTCTCTGTCTGAAAATCGTCGGTCTTAGCTCAACAGTAACAACGCGAGGGAAAGAAGAACCCCCTCGTCTGCATCACAGTATCAATCGGTAAGCGGCGCAAAATGAGTCGTCATAAGAAAACAAAGATGGTCGGGGTAAGTAGGTCATTCCAGATGGCGCCGAAGAGAAGGTTAGGCCGGTCACCCAGCCGTACTTCCCCCCAAGCCGAGGTCGTAGAGAATGCACCCGAAGATGTAAGTCTCCACCTCATACCGTCCAAACTATCCTCCGAGATGAAAATCTGTTGGATCTCATCTATCATCTGGTCACTAAAGCCCGCTCCAGTACCCAGAATCTTCTCAAGCCTATCCCTATCCCAACCCCTTCCGTCCACAGGTCCTTCACCTGCAGAAAGAGAAGGTGGATAACTTGTCTAGTGCTCGAAAGGGGGCCCTCACCAAACCTCCAATCATCCCAAAAACTAACGTCCCCCTCACCCAGAGTCCAGAAGCACATCTACCCACCATAGTGAGGGGCACCTCCACTGTCTGCTATCGCGAGTAGTGGCCGTCACTCTACAGGGGTGGGCATCACCTCCACGGATTTTTAATTTTTTTTTTTTAAATTCTTTTCATTAAACAAATAAAATCAATATAAACTCAATTTTCTTACACAATACTAGACTGATAAAGACATGGGCGCACCAAAACAAACAAAAATACACACAAGCAACAAATATCAAAACACACAAAATCATGCACAAAGCTTTTTGGTTTATGGGTTTTGGGCCATGGTCCATGGATATGGCTCCCGATTAATGTGGATAGAAAAATGTTCATGAACAAATACATTTGACCCATACAATGGCCCGGAATGACGGGTTGAAATGTTCTTCCCCAACCAATATACCAAATTTGGAAAATATATATATATTATATATATATATATATAAAATAATAATACTTACATCCCCACCACCACTTATCACAGCTTAAGTTCTTGAGACTTGCCTCATAGCAATAATTCAAATGATTAAATGGCTAGAAGCCAAAATATAATGGTGTAGCAACAACAAAGGTCAAAAAGAACTTGTCAATTTGCCTTTGAATTTTTTGGGCCATCTCAGTATCTGCCAACTAACTTTATGGCCTTATTCGGGAGGTGAAAGAAGATACATATATAAGAATTTAATGCAATGTTGTAACGTGAGTACACACTATCATGTGTTGAACAAAAACGCGTTTTTACTTTAAGGGTCGCAATTTATTTTTTATTATTTATTTATTTTTGTGATATTTTTTGCTGGCTTGCCATTTGTACCTTTCTAAGTTCTTCCACTCGAAAGTGTGCAACTTTCTAGTTGCCAATCCATGTGCAAGGAATTACTTATAAGCATGGCTCAATATTTGTCCCATTTGCTTTAGTTATTGCACTTCTCTTGGAATATTGTTTTGGCGAAATGCTACGCTCCCGTTACGGAACTATTCCGTCGGATTTTGTAATCGTTAGATCAACTATTCCGGCGATTACATGATGATCTAACGATTACAAATTCCGACGGAATAATTCCGTAACGAGATTGTAGCATCTTCCATTGTCTTGTATGTGCTATATGGAAGAGCATAGAATAGCTAGGTAGTTGATTTAGAATCGACAATCTTATTTTCTTCTCACACGATTGTGAAATTTGATGTGGAACATCTTGTCAAAATGGATAAATGTTTAGTTTTCAAGGTATGCCATTTCATTTCATTGCGACATAAATGCTCATTCATCCATCCACACATTAAAATAGGTGAATCGGTCATATGTTGTTAAGTTCATGTAATTCTATACTATCATATCCACCGTGTTATGACATTGCACCTGCTAGATTTTTTTTTTTAATTTTTTTTACCAAAATATATATTTGTAATATAATGTTTAATATTTTTTTTTT